TTTTTCAACCTCTGTTTTCGGACATTGAAATAAACCGAAAACATCTCCCTTAACTACTGGAGCCACAGAAGGAGAGCAATGTTGCATGTTATAACGTGTAAGGACACGCTCAATGTAAGCCTTTTGAGATAATCCCAAAATACCATTGACTCTATCTCGGTGTATTTCGATGCCAATAACATAAGAAGCCTCTCCGAGATCTTTCATGTCAAAATTACGCGAGAGTAAACGCTTGGACTCATGCAACATGTCTAAACTATTACTTGCCAATAGAATGTCATCTACGTAAAGGACAAGTATAGTGAAGTTGCTCCCACTCATCTTGAGGTAAGTGCATTGATCCACTTGATTCTTTATGAAACCTTCTGACTTCAAGACTTGATGCAACTTTAGGTAACATTGACGTGATGCCTGCTTCAACCCGTATATGGATTTCTTTAGCTTACAGACTAGGTGCTCTTGACCTTCAGATTTGAATCCTTCGGGTTGTTTCATGAACACTTCTTCATCCAAATCGCCATTAAGGAAAGCGGTTTTGACATCCATCTGATGTAACTCTAAGTCAAAGTGAGCTACAAGGGCCATAATGATCCTTAAGGAATCCTTTCGAGAGACAGGAGAAAAGGTCTCTTGATAGTCAATTCCCTCTTTCTGAGTGTAGCCCTTTGCAACCAATCTCGCTTTGTAGCGTTCAATGTTTCTATTCGGGTCCAGTTTTGTTTTGAAGACCCATTTACATCATACGGGTTTTACACCGTTGGGTAATTCAACCAAATCCCAAACATCATTTTTCTTCATGGAGTCAAGCTCTTCAATCATGGCTTTATTCCATTCAGAAGACTGATCACTGTTAATGGCTTCATTATAAGAGGTAGGATCATTAAACTTTCCAGCATCCATTTTTGCTTCAGTAAGGTAGGTAACATAATCATCAAAGTTAGTAGGCCTTTTAGACCTACTAACTTCCGGCGAAACTTCCGGCGAGTATTTCTCCCAACTCCAGCGACTTCACATCAAATTGACAGCACCACAACACTCCTCACACTTTCATGAACATTTAAGAAGAAGAATGAAGAAGAATGGTGAAGAAATGAGAAGGTTGGGTTTTCTTATATAATGAGAAGGAGAGAAGAAGAAGGTGACTGCGATCGGCGTAGTGGGGAAGGAGGCGCCGTCTAAACAGTTTCCTGATTGGGACCTATTTTGGTTCTATTTTATATTATCAAGTAGGCCTTTTATTCTTATTCAAGTTTTATCTCAATACATAATCAACCATTTGATATCATGCACACAATATATGGTTCAAACATTCATAATATTTTCAATATTTTATTCTAAGTCATTTG